GTGGTTGTCCTTCAGCTATTTCAATAGCCGTTATTCCTAATGATCATATATTGTTCTATTTACAAACAATTTATTTATATAAAATAATAATAAACAAAAAAATACTCTATTATCATATGTTGCTTGACGATTTTCATCACAAGCAATAACGTCAGGTATCATCCTATTTAAACAAAAATAAATAATTAAATAAAAACTTAGTATTAATACCAATAAGGCGTTCCAATAAAAGTATTTCTTCGTCCAATTGTTTGATCTAATTGAGCTGATACACCAAAATCAACTAATTTAACTCCAGCATTTGCATTTAACAAAACATTCTTTAGTAAAATAAATAAATTTATTATTTAAATAAAAAAAAACATCAAACCTATTCTTTAATATCTCTATGAATAATTTTATTTGAATGAAGATAATTTAAACCATTTGAAATTTCTTTACTAATATAGGATATCCATTCTTCTGTTAATGAATTTCCTTTTGTTGATTTAAGTAAATCACTTATTGATTCTGCACCACAATATTCCATAATCGACTTTAAAACAAAAAAAAAAATAAACATTCCATTTATAAAAATTTAAAATAATAATAACCCATAATTGATCATATTCATTTCGTTCTGAAAAAGATTTATTTATAAATGCTTCATAATACATGGTTATATTGCAATTATTTGAATATTTACGAAAAGACAAAGAAGAATTTTTATTCAATTGAAATCAAAAACAAATCAATGAGACTGTTTTTGAAACATTAACTTCTGATTTTATTTCTTCTTCATCCTCAATCAGATATCAACAATTCGGTTCGATTCGACTCAGATGAATCGAATCGAATAGAGTCATATCGAGGAGAGAATCGAACCGAATTCATTTTTCCCGATTCGAGTCCCATTAATGTCCGAATTATCATCTCGACCCCTATTTTTACTATATTCAACTAAACACGTTATCTCAATCTATTCGAATACTTATAAGATTCAATCGGTAGTTACAAATGGTTAGTCGAATTATCACGGAGTATCGTAGTGTTTTTCCTATTAACAATGAATAATACGAAATTTCTCACATAATTCAGTAAAATGAATGTCGTATGGAGCTTGTTGCTTTTCTAGCTAGTGAAAATCGCACATATTCTCAGTTAGTATTGCCCAAGTCAAAAACAATTCTTGACTGCACGACTATAGGTGAAACTAGAAGTAAAAACGCTACAGTGCTTCGTCCAGGCAACATTCAAAAAACGCTTGTTAACATGAACGATTTGATTTGCAATAAATCGGATTCCTCCGTTCCATATACATTTTAATTCACAAGATTCCGGGCAAATAGGAAGGAAATTGTATTTCACCTTGATCAATGATACTGTATAAATAAAAATCCAAACTAATCGAATCGAATTCTATTCCAGAAAAAGTAGTCCGAATCGGATCTGATATATAAGTTAAATGATAAGAAATTACCAAAGACCTTTTCTTTCGAAAACAGAGCAAAAAAAAATAATTGGCGAAGTCATTGTCATTCGTCATCGTAACCGTACCACCAATTTGTTACTTGTTTGCAGACCCATCTGAGAGTTACTGTACCAAGACCAATACAAATCAAAGACAGACCAACAACCAACAAGATTCTTGTTCATAACGACAACGAACATAATTTAATCAATTCTTCATAAATATTCGCGTATAATGATGATATTGCAGATACAAATCACAGCATCAACATGGCTAAAATAATTTAAATAAAACCCTCAAATAAAAAGCTACTAAATCAGCATATAGTGTGAGATAATAAGATATGGGTTGTGTGTAAGCAAGAAGAAAATCAATATTCATTAAAAAGCACAATCACACAAAACAAATAAAAATGTTGCAGTAAATAGAAGAGGTTAGTTCGAAGCATTTTACAAATACGATTTTATTAGACTTTAAATAAGACAGACACAAAATTGAATTTTTACATGATGATCATGTTAATGATTACTGATTTTTCTTAGGAGTACGGCCAGATGATGGAGGCCATAACAAATCTATTGTTCAAAAAAGACAAAATAAGTCAATGTTTCTTAATTCTTTCTCTGTTTCGTTTCAAAAAACTGATTAGATCTTAATGATAAATAGTAATGGAAAAATTTACTTCCAAGTGTAGATAAGAAGTGGTTCCATGTGATTGATGATGATGATGATGATGATTGTGATGATCGTTGACGAGGAGCTAAAAAGTTACAATCAGTACAATGTGAAGTTCTTTTTGTGTTTACTTACAACGAGCATCATACGCTTTATACACTGCGTTGTTGCTCCAAATGTCATTTGGTGCTAAGAAATTCCCATTATCATCTTTTTCCACTCTATAATGGCAAATTCTTAATGTGCTGCAGTAGAGTTTTCACTATCCCATGAGTTTTTTTCGTTCGAAATGGTGTCCACACGCGTGTAAACAACGAAATAGTAGAAACGCATTTCTACTATTTCGTTGGTTCACTCGTTTCGACATCGTTTCGAACGAAAAAAACTCATAGAATATATTTAATAACATACACAGCCCAAACATTCGAACGATTTATTCTAAATAAGAATACTGTAGCATTTGGAAAGAGCTGATTGAATGTGTCACTAGATATTGTACCATCAGATTCAATCGGCACTCTGATAATCAATTCACCATTGTCGACTCTAACATAGGACATTCTTTGAACTTTATCTGAAAAGAGATAGAAAATGAACATGTTTTATTTGCACCCTACAGCAATTAACCATTTCTCAGTTTCTGGTAGAATCTCAAAGTTTTTTTTACAATATTAGTCATTCAGATTATTCAGAGTATAGGTTACACATAACCAACATTCGCACTCTCACCTCAATTTTACTCTCAAGAAATGTTTTTCTTAAATCAAGATTCGAAAGAATATACTCTATTATCCTAGATTGCTACAGGGTTTTCATCAAAAGCAATCACTTCTGCGGTCATTCTAAATAGAAAAAAAAATGCCAAAATGATATCAATTGATTAAAAAATAATAGAAACCAATAAGATGTTTCAATAAAAGTATTTTTTCGTCCAATTATTCGATGAAAGTGAGCTGATACACGAAAATCAACTAATTTAACTTTAACATTTTCAGTTAATAGAACATTCTTTAAATAATAGAAGTAAATAAATAAATAAATTCATTATTAAATCCCACTTGTTTCATGATATATCTATTAATTATTTTATTTAAATGAAGATGATTTAGACCATTAAGAGTTTCTTTGCTAATATAAGATATCCATTTTTCTTTTAAAGAATTTCTTTTTGTTGATTTAACTAAATGTGTGATTGATCCAACATCACAATATTCCATAACCAACTTTAAAAGAAAAAAAAATATTTCATTTATGAAAATATTAAATAATAATACTCCATAATTGATCATATCCATTTCGTCCTGAAAAAGATTTATTAATAAATCCTGCATAATACATTGCAATATTTTGATGATTTGAATATCTTTAAAAAAATAAGATTTTATATTTAAAAAAAATTAATTTCCAACTTTTTTAAAAATATTAACGTCTGATTTGATTTCTTCTCCTTGACCCTAAGAACAACAACAAAAAAAATTATGATTACATAAAAAAATATATTCATAACTAACTTCTGTAACATCCATAACTTTAATTGAAGCCAATTGACTTGTTTTTGTAAGACGATCCTTTTAAAAGAATAAAAAATAAAAGAAACAAAACAAAACAATTAAAAATAACTTTATAAACTTGTCAATATCTTCTTCCATTCTCAACAACTTTGATCAATTCAAAGATTCTAGATGGATCCTTAAAACCAATTTTATTCGATTAAAATAAATAAATAAAATCTATATAGATTATTTACTCGAAGTTGATTAAAATCAAGTTCAAAATGATTTTTATTCATTGAACTTAACAAATATTGTATCTGTTCTTTTCTTCTTCTTTTAATTTACAATCTTTTCTTCGATCAGCCATTACCATTATCGATTGCCAAATTCCATCATCTTATAGAGATGTCACTCAACAACATGAATCTTACTTATTCTTAAGCACATTCTACAACAATCTTTTTTTTTACTTCTCATTATCGTTTCCTTTCTCTATTTTAATGTTATTAGATATTCTTAATGTTCTCATTTATTTTTTCGTAGATTCTAACAATGAAAGGGTGTGTACCAGTGTTTCTAATGGAAATCTAAAATAAAATGTACAGTGCATGCTGTTTTAAATGAGCAAAATGTACATTTACACTTGTTTTCATGAGCAAAGTGTACAAAATGTACGGTGTTTACGCCGCATATTATAAAAAAAACAGGACCATCTACGAACGATGTTCAGATAAAGAAGGAAAGGGAGAGGTCTTGCGAACTGGACAGATATAGGAGTTCCTTGGGGCTCCTACTCGCGGACATTTTCCTTGTACAGTTAGAAAAACAGCTCATGTCTCAGCTACCAACTCATGGTCTTATAGTCTGGAAAAGATACGAGGACGATACTATTGCCATCATCAGTGAAATTGCTGATCCGACACTTCTGTTAAACATATAAAATTCGTTTCATTGAGCAAAATAATGTACAACAGAATTTGAATTTTGTCATACTCTTTCTTTTCGAGATGTAAATGTTAAGCATCTTACATCACTCGCTACTCATTCAAATTCATATTTTGAAACAACTACCTTTCGTAAGACTGCATATAGTAGACTGCTGACCAAGTTTTCATCGTTCATACCTATAGAATACAAAGAGAGCGCCATTAGGATATTTTCGACTTTCTGTCTTTTAAATAAGGAATTATAATTTACTGGGCGTGTATCACCAACAAATGATTACCCGGTTGAATTTCATCGACCAACAAATTTGCTTCACACTCGACAGATATATTATCGGATAGAAAAAACCAATAGCAACAGCTTCTGCCACAAATTCATTAACAACTACTCTTCAAACAGATATTTCGACAACAACAAGTTCTGCTACAGATTCTCCATCATTAACACCAAAACAACAGTCTACAAGAAAGGAAACTCTACTCGTTGATATCTCGTATGTAGATAGATTAACTGTGGTTTTAGGAAAAAAGTTGGTTAAAATTCGGCCTGAAATAAAGCTTCAATCGATTCCAAGACCTCCACCAGCAATTCAAGATCTTTTTCCTCTAAAATAAAATCCTATTCCAAAGGATCTCCAATCTCATCTAGCCTATCAAATAAAATGTCAAGATGTGATGTCACGTATATCGGCAAAACAATTCGTCAAGCAGCCCGACGACACCACGAACTACTGTATAATCAATCTACTTATGCTACATGCAACTCTTAATCAAAATTTGCTTCTCCAACAACTTGCCGACGATTCAATCGTCTAAAAACTGTGAAAGTGCATAATTACTCCATCTTGGATCAATCGTTCATAACAAAAGCTCTACCAAAAGTCCTAACATAAAATCTGCTCTTCATGATTTTGAAAACAGCATGGATCTAAAATAAGTTGGAGTAAATGGCGAATTTTTTCCAAAGTTCCACATCCATACAAGTTACCAATCCGCGAACAATTAGCAATACAACAATATCAAGCTACACTCAATAGAACAGCTACATCTTCTCCACTCATAATATACCCAGAAGGGCTCAAAATATCAAAATCGACTGTCAAGATTAAAGGTAGCAATACATAATACATCATCGACTTGGCGTTGTTATTTATCAGAACGTTCTAATAAATAACTAATTGATATATATATATATATATAGGTCTGATGACTCATTATTCTATAATGTATTTCAATGAATATATATATATAAAGGGTATTCCAAAAGTTCATCGGGATGGTTAATGCAAATGTCTCTTACACAATTCAAGAGAGGTAATTGTTTTTTTAAAATATGTTATTACATTCTTTTAAGTTTTGTTGCGTATATTTTGTGATAAATTTGCTGCCTATAAATATTAGAATAAAAATAGTCTCGTTAATAGTCAAATTTGAGTCACCTATCATTGCGAGAGGAAAAATGCAAGTCGTTAACGAAAAAGATTCACAAGATCGAATTGAAGTTATATCGTTTTATACTAATATTAGCAAATATTAAAAAATCGAAGGACTTCGTTCTTTTCTCAGATGAAATCTCTTCTTATTAATATGATTTATCGGTAAATATAAAAGTGAAACGCAAGATATGTAAGACATATATCAAGTTCTAGTTGTATTCAAAATGAAAATTGATAATAGAAATTAATAAATTCAAAAATAAACTTTCAGCAGTATTTCTTTTTGAATTTCGAAAATGATGGGTTTATATATTCCAGTTGATGGTTATTATTTTGAATATTTGTATTAAACTCAATTATATAAAATAAAACTTTAAAGAATACTACTAATATATTTCAAAAAAAACTCAATTAAATTGTTTGAATTATATAAAAGATATTTACGTTAATTTTCCCGATGGACTTTTGGGATACCCTATATATTTGTAATTCTCTTATTCTTTCTTTTCTGTCTTGACAATGACTGTATAAAGAAGTCGGAACATCAACATTAAAAAAAATTCTTTTTGTTCAATAAATCAAGTTTTACTAAAATATGTTTATCACTGCTGTTAAATCAATAATTTTCAAATTAAAAACAAAATGTTATATTAATACGGAAATATCAACTATTTTCAATGAAATAATTACTTGTAGGAACAATTCATAATTACCATTAGATTTAATTAATTCAAGAAATATTTGTCTTTAGTTATGAAAGGAATATTATTTCGAGAGATCATTCTTAATTTAGTTTATTATACATTCACATTTGATAAATTTTTTTGTCTGAAAAAAACCTGTAATCGAAATTTGATGTATTAGAATTTCATTTTTCATAGTCACTATTCCATAGGGATCTAAAATGACATAAGTGCTATCAATAATTTAATATTGTCTCTAGTCATATTATTCTTCGCAATGTTCTCATTTCTGGTATGGAAGGATAATGTCAATAAGAATAGAAGGAAAACCCATATTAAAAAAAACTTCTCGCTCAATAATATATTTAATCGAATGTAATTATTCAAAATGTAATAGAGTAAATGTTATTTTTGAAAAGAATGATATGTCGAAAATTGTTTATATTAAATAAAAAAAAAAAAAAGAATGAAGATCTCTTTTAAAATTATTATCGAAATAAAATTGTGTGACTATTGACGGAATGAAATCGGCGTCAATGTCTCCGTTTTATTATATAAAATAAGGTAAATACTTCCTACGTTAGCACGTGTGTCTGTCAATTGTTGTCAATCATCTGTCGGCGGCATTTGAAAACTTTTGTTTGATTATAATCACGTTCATGTCAACAGAAGACAAGTAATGGCTTTTTATTATTTGTTCAAAGATAATTGTCCTTCAAATATATATTCTTAGACTTACTTCCGAGTGTTATTAATTGCTGTCTCAATAAGTGAAAGAAACTTCTTTTTCCGTTTGAAAAAAAAAAACTACTAGTTGTTTTTCTTTTTACTAAGAAAGTTTATTCTAAACGATAATAATTAATAAAACATAAAATCGATTTTTTTTGTGCTCGGTAGACTAAAAAAATAATCAGTACTCGAATTATCTCTTAATCCTTCTTATTCATTTCTCTTTTGTTTAATATAAAAGATCAGTCAGATGAACATAAATCGTTTCATATAAAATCAATATTATTCTTAGTTAACATACATTCAACATATGTTCATTGAATATTTTTATCGGAAATATTCTTCGATTGAATCTTTTTCAATTATAAATAGACGGATTTTTTTTTTGATTCTGAAAAATTTATTTAGTCATTAAATCGTAGATGTGACTAATTATTTTTTTACAAGATTATTCTGTTATTTATTGTGATAAGACGAAAAGAATAAAAAAAAAACTGTTGTAATAAGAAGAATTACGTAATTAGATTCATATTTAAATAATTGATTATGTCATGAAAAGAAAAATTCATTTTTTTACAGTTTGTTTTGATCGATCAAGCAACAAGAGGATGCAAATGAAAAAATTAATTATTAACTAAAATAAATTGACAAAAAGAAAATGTATTTTTTATTTTTTGTTTCAAATATTTTTCGAAACAATAGTATACTTTACATATCATGTAGATTATATATGATATTATATTTCCATTGAATAATCTAATTTTCATTGAACATTGAAATGAAGTTCATTTCTCCAAAGAGCTTTTCCTTTTTCTTAGTGACACGTTGTTAGTCATAATCATAAATCTAAATAATCTCAACACACAATGGGCATAATACTATGACGTAAGAATAATGAATACCTTTGTTGCATTGATAATGCATAAGAATTCTTTTTTTTTTTTGTATTCATATCTACTGTCTGTGACGATTACCAAGGTTAATGATCTATGCATATGAACCAGAAAATTAAATTGTGATATATGTTTTATGCCATTAGCATATTCTCAATGGCACACAAATAGAACAATTATATATCGAAAATAACAATTTTTATTGTAGTTAACTAATGTTTGAAAACAATTTTACTTTTAATTGAATATTTCATTATATATTTTATCTTAGAAAAAGAACATCAAATTAATATTTATTTTTTTGCAAACAGATAATAAAAAAAAAAGCGAAAGTTCAACATATATGTTTATTCACCGGATATGTTAATGACACTGAGTAAATGACTTCGATATATAATAATAATTCAATAATTTGTTTTTCACACTAGCCAAATCCAATAGATGAATGAACTGAGTAGCCACCACCACCACCACCACCATGAACAATTCTTTTTTATTGAATTTGATAAAAGATTTTTACTCGATTCTAAATTTTATTTTATTTTTTTAAATCAAATAAAGAAAAAACAATTTGTTTTTATTAGATAAATTCTTACGAGTTGTTGTTTTCGTTTGATTTTTCTTTTTCTTTTGCAATTTATTCAGTAATAAAGCAGTACGTTCATTTCGATTTATTTCATCTGTTGAAATCTTTTGTTTTACTTTCCGTGCTTTTGAAACTTTAGAAGAAAAATTTTAAAAAAAAAAATCAAAAATCAAATTATATTTTTACTTTGTTGAATATAAATATAATCTGATTTATGTCCTAAAATATTTTCACCTCGACATTCATATTGATCAAATTGATATTCATTTATATCCTTAACAAAATAAATCTATTTATATTTTTAAATAAGAAAACAAAAGATAACATACAACAATTTCCATAATTGATTCTGAACATTGATCATTAATAATTTGTTTTTTAATATGAATATTAACATCAGTTATTTGTTGATCATGTCTGAACCAATAAATATGATCAGCTTGTGGAATTGAACATACTCGACATTTGACAAAAATTGTTTCATGAAGAAAATTTCGCGTTTTTTCATTTAATATTAGTACTCGAGGGGAATCTAAACATGATTATGTAATAATAATAATAATAATAATAATAATAATAATAATAATAACAACAAAAAAAAAACAGGAAGATTATCATAATTGAATGTCATCCGATCAGAAGACTTTCTCTTTTTCTCTCTTATTCATAATTGAATAGCATATGATGGAAATAAACTTTACTTACATTGAACAGTGACATAAAAAGCACGACTGATTGTTGCATGATACATATTTGAAGCGATGCATTCATATAAACCACTATCTGATGGTTGAATAAACGATAGATATAGATCTTCTCCATAATGAATATCTTAAATAACTTAATTTTTATTAATTATAATGATAAAATAATCTTACATTTTGATTGTTTATTTTTATCTTTATGAATCCATGTTATATTAACAGATGGTATAGCAAAAACATGACAAGATAAATTCATTGAAAAATTTTCAGGATATGAAATACTTGCTTCCAATGGAAAATATGATACAAAACGAGGTGGAACTAAAAATACAACATAGAAAAAAAAACAAAATATTTCTCTAACCTTCTAGTGAATCTACATTATATTTTGATTTCTTTTTCATCTATAATGGTGCAACTGAAAAATGCTTAATATATCACATAACTGAGTATATTCATATATTCCGGATGTGTCTAAAAGGTCAAGTCTTTTGTTCCTATCAATGAACATACGGATGGATCATTAACGCTAATTTATTGAGATAGCTGTCAAAACTATAACAGAGAAAGAGAATGCAATTAACACTAGTAGATACACACACACACACACACACACCATGCAATCGTCTTAAAGAAACTTTTTTTTTTCTAAAGAAAAGAAAAAGATAAATGATGATGAATCAATAAGTTCTTATTGTTATTTTTATCCATATAATCAAGATGTCTATAGTACAAAAACAAAAGCTATGAGTCGGGACTAATTTTATTAATGATCCGATAAATAAAAATCTAAGATTAAAAACATATGGACTAATATATATTTCTATTTAATCTATTTCTATTGAAAAATTTAAAATTACTTACCAAATATTTCAATTAAATATGATATTAATTTTTCATCATTAAACATACATGAATAAAGACCAGAATCATTTTGATTTACAGATTTTAATTTTAAATCTAAACGATTTGATGAAAATCGTTTTAATTCAATATATGATTGATGAACAAATAATTCTGAACCAAGTGATAATATATCACCTGTCACTTGACGCATAAAAGATACCTGAAAATAAAATCAATTTAGAAAACCAAAAAGAAAAAAAAAGAAAACTTTTCAAGTATGTTTATATAGACAGCTGTCATCTTTTATCTAATAAATGAATTTAATGTCAATTTCAATTTTTCAATAATTTTCAAGTATTCTATAATCAATCAACATATGTTCAATTGTTAAATTATTTCTATTCATTATTTTGAATAAACTTTGTTTCTCTCTTAAAAAAACAAAGAAGAAGAATATTATTAGAAAGAAAATGAAGAGCTCTTGAAAAATACAGTCTATAGTCATATGATGGAAGTTGAGTTTAATTGCCATTGACCTATGAAATGATCAATCTATTGGACATGCTGATGCATGTTACGTAAATATAATCATCAGGGACATATAGAACATTGTTGATTAAAAAAAGAAAAAAAAAAAGAATTCTTACACCTATCATTGTCATTAATATGTGTATGTTTTGATTAAAATAGCCCCGACGGTACGGTATGATGTATCGAATAATACATATATAAACAATTCATCAATGAAGAGAAAACTTCCACTTGAAGTGAATAATCGAAAAATGATATCGATATACTTGTCTACTGTTTAATCGAAGAACAAATATACAGACAGTTTATATGAACAGACCACATACAATGTTTATTCAAGAGAAAACAATAGATGATATAAACGAACGATTTTCTAGATGTGTAACTTTTTTTTAATGTACGAATCTTGTGGTGATATGCTTCGCTTTTCTTTTATTTTTCTGTTGAATTGTTTTACCTGTTCAATTTTATTTTCATCAAATATACAAGACATGGTGATATCTTGACCAACATCAGCTTTTAATACTTGATGATAATTATCATTTCTTGATAATGTTTTGCCAAAATAGAGAATGAACATGATCAGAAACTGTAATAAAGAGTTATATGCACACCACGATGGCATGACTGATGATCAAATGAATAGGAGACTAGAAGAGAAAGAGAAAGAGAAAGAAAGAAAACCGAAGCAAAAGAGAAAGAGAGAAGGAGAAAAAAAAGGAGTTTTGCTTTTCTTTGTTTGAGACTGTATGTCTACTAAGATGGACATTTGCGTGTATATATGTGTGTGATAATTGCACTTTCTCGTTTCTTATACACACGTTCATTTCATCTCGTTCGCTTGAGGCACACAAATGAAGACGTGTGATGGACGAGGGGCGTCATCATCATCATCATCATCATCATGAAGAGAGAAGAGAAGAAGAAAAAATTGTGTGTTCATTTCGCATTTTTCCTTCCTGTGTATTGATGTAAGAGAGGTAGAAATAATGATAATCATCATTTGTTGTTGATGGCACATTTTTTTTAATAAGAATGAAAATCTTTCTTCTTTCACATATTTAATATAGTTTTGTCTCGTTTTTTTTTGTTACTTGTGTGTGATTAATTCTTCTATAAACAATATTTGCTTAAATGAATGGAACCTGATACTTTTGTTTTTTTCATGTGTATCGATGGTATAGTATCGGGTCATTGTAGCATATCTAATAGAATAACAATAATAATTAGAAAAAGCAAAGAAAAATTTTGATTATCAAACTTAAAAAGTCTTTTAGTCTGGTTTTTTTTAAAACTGATATGGATTTGAATTAATCGATTTTATGAATAACTTATTCTAATGAAACTTTTTTTTTCATATTAAAATAAATGACAGGTATACTGTTACTAGTAATATAATGCATATATACCTGTCGATAAGCTTGTCTGATAGATTTTATAAGAGAAACTCAATGACTAAACTCCTTCACACAATAATAGACTTCGGGTTTTCTATGATGTTGTAGCGTACGAGTTTCTTTTTTTGAAAGGTCTTCTAATATGAATTCATATCTATAAAGGATCGAATATTTTCACATTTTCATAAACTGAACTGTTTCATTTAGTTGTTGTCGATGATGTTTAACAAATGTGAGCTCTTAGTTTTTTTTTCACTATCGTCTTCTTTTCATTATTATCATCTAAGGTTTCCAATTGATAATATGCCGATGAATGTACTAATTCATTTTTACATTAATCAATGGTCGAATTAATTTCAGCACTTGAATCATCATCATCATCACAAAGGAATGCACTTTGTTGTTCTTCTATATTGTATTTATTAATTAAATGTATATTACTATTGATACAAATGACATCTAATATTAATCGTGGTTGCACTATTCATAGTTCTGTCTTTTTTGTTCTCGTCTCCATTCTAACTGACAATAGTTCTTTTTTCTCTCAATGAAGAAAATATATTCCCGTTATGCATACACAAACTATTACTTTCTTTTCTAGTTTTTTCATAACTCTTATTCTCGAATGAACATGATTCAGTAATATTTCAATGAAGAACTATGATTTAAACAAAGGATTTTTTTTCACAACATCCGAGTCTTCTATTATAGAAGGATGTTCTAATGTGTCGTAGGATTTAGTTAATATATTGTGATAATCAAACTAAAATTGAAAAAATTATTAAGAGGAATGCCCTTTCCATGGTTTCTAGAGAACGGCTCAATGAAAAATTATAAAACTTTCAGGGCAGATAGATCTCGATGGGTAGAGCAAAAGTTGTTGTAGAATCAGAAATTCCAGATCCTTCCTTTAGGAAAATATAGGGTCCCAAAGGCCAAAAATTTATACTATATCTTTCTGAGCTGTAATTTTTTCTTTGACAACTAGGATTAAATTGGAGTGCGTCGTTCTTTATCTTCGAAAAATATTGTTTCTGCAGCTCAAGAGAGGCAAAATATCGAAAGTACTATCAAAAAAAAAATGTTTTTTTTCGATGGTGCTAATTTTACAAAGGCTGCAAAATTTCACAGGAACAATATTATCAAGAAAGAAAAAAAAGACATATCCCAATTCGATCAAAGTACTCATTAAAAAAAACTTTGAGTCCGAACGATTGTACCGTGTGAGAGAAAAGGGAGAAAAACTTCATTTTTTTTTATTTGAAAATTTGATTTTAAGAAAAACGCAAAGTTGCACTTTTTAGCTTTTTTAATATAATATTGAGATTTGTACATACAAAAAGATATTTTACCTTCTTAAAATGTGTTCACTAAATAGATGACATTTAAATCCACATACTCAATTTAAAATATGAAAAAACTGAAAATTTTTGGGTTGGGAAAGGGAGATCTTCGTAATGATAACTACATTGAATATACGCTTTCAACATTAAGTGGATATAAATGTATTTACTGGAAATTTTAAACAACAACAATATGTGAAAATTACAAACAATAATTCAAAAAAAATAAAAATTTACTCTAGTTAAATACAAATCTTGCACTACTTTGCTGCTTGACTCCATTTAATCTTAGCATCAACTACCAAGAAATTTTGCTCTGAATAGAGAATTTCAAAAGTTTTGGTCTGTAAAGGATAATTCACAATACCATTAAAACTTCGTTTAGAGATTTTAATATTCGAGATAAGATCTGTTCTACCTTAAAAAAATACGAATTGATCCTATCTCTGTCAGATATTTCAATGCATTCTAATGATGTTACCAGTGTTGTTATACCCGAATCGCTAATTTTTATTATTTTTCAATTGAATATCTTCTAAAAATTGATAAACTTTCAGCATATTAGCTTGCTGTTTGCCATCGATGTCTCAGATATCGTTATATCATAGACATAATTCTCTTAGAATTTTATTGAATTTTAGCACAAAAGCCAAAAATATCAAATTATCGTGTCTAAGGCGATTAATTGAAATTTTCACTAAATAGATAGAATAAAATTTAAGACAACTAAAATACAGTAACAAAAGATTATGATCTTGAGCTCAAAAACCTGCATTACGATAGAGATAAAGCGAATAAAGTATTCGACTTCCATTCTATTGTATAAATATGAATTAAAGATCCTTCCTCTCAGAATCAATTTATCACTTAGAACGAACCGTTTGGACTGAAATTTACTGGAATGAGTGATCCTAGTGAGAAACGCTTATGGTGAAAATCTCAATCCGATAATTGATACTAGATCGAACTTCCCAACTTGTTTATATTGCTTCCAGAAGAATCGTTATAACTTCGTTACTTATAAGAGGTACAAAGCTTGAGCTGGTTTCAAATTAAAGTTAATCTTTGTGCGCAATTTTTATCCGAACAGAATTTTCAAATTCCTTGCTATTCATTTTTTATGAGCATTTTAGCCGACATAGTATTAAAATAAGCATAAAAAAAGATGACTCCATGAGAGTAAAATCCAGTTTTCTCAGCTCATGAATCAAGTATAAAAAAATCTGGTCGAACGAAAGTTTGCTCTTATTTAGAGCTTCAAAACAAAAGAAAAAAATGGTTATAGCTTGAATCAGGTGAGAGTTATTTCAATTTTACTGCCCGAAAATTATGTTTTAAGAAAACCGGTAAAGAAGTTTTAGAAATCGATTGTTTTTTCATTAAAATCCAGAAAAGAAAGCCATATTACAATTGCATATTTTTAATATATTTCAGTGGACTGTTTTAAAGCACATAACAGATGAAGATTGCTAATGCAAGTGACAACATAATTGTTTCCAAAATAGAAAAACTTTGAAAGAGAAAGTCTCAGTGCATCATCCTATAACAAAAATTCAACTTCGATATTTTTTTCAAAAAATTGGGTTTTCTAAGGGAGTTTTCCTTAATGTAAATTCTCCGTGAGTAAGGTGATCCAGCGGTTTTTCATCTCTTCTCTCTTTATCGATTCGTGCATGAGGTGTAATATTTGAAATACTATGTTTTAGTCATTCTATGTTTACATCGAATAATCAAAGAGGTAAATCTTTATTGAATATACTACTGGAAACAAAATCATTTACAGAATAAATGATTTATATTTTTCAAGGTGATAACATCATTTTGCATAGTTCATCTTGAATATCAGAAATACGTTGATTTACAGAGACAGTATTCATAGATGAAATATTTTACTTTTTTTTTTGTTTTTGTTGGCATAGAGTACAACAAGAATAACTTATTTCAATTGTTAATTTTTATTTTGATGATATATCGCTAAAGCAAAATAGAATTAAATGGTTTTCAATGCGTTTGAGGTACATTCGGTAGATTTTCTTTTCATCGCATAGAAATACTTTTGCTGGTCTGTTCATTTTCAATCAAATTCATCAAACAATAATTTGTCATCGAAGATCTAACTTTAATGAAATTCAGAACAATAGAACTTGTCTTAAACAATCAGAGGCTAATGTTACAGCGTATCGTTTTCTTAGATTTAATTAATAAAAGTTACTTATAAATATCAGATATGAAAGTAGTGTGAACCTGTTGGTTTAGACAAATGACGTGTTTTTTGATTCTCGATGCTATTTCGAACGATACACAAATAAAAATTTTAGAATTTGAAAATAGTTGAAAGAAGGAAAGTCTTCATTAGTAGTGTCGAAAAATCAAACAGAAAAAAGAAGAAGTTAAAACTTTTATCTTTTTTCTTCTTGGAATAGTTTATTAAAATTTTGATCGATAAATATTGTTTATTCGAATTTCTAACAAAATACTAAAGACTAAACATTAGTTTTGTTATTTTAATTTGATCAAAATCAAATAAGAAAATCATTTTTTTTTTGCTTTTTAATCAATATAAAACAGCTGTTAGGGCATTCTCTGTGGGATTAAAATATGAAACATGATATAACTGTTGTCGCTAATCATAGGGAAATTGTTTTGGTTCTATCAATTCTAGAACACATGTCTTCACCAACTTTTTCTTTAATCCTCTACAGATACAATAAGAAAGTATAGTTCATATATTATAACGAGACGTTATTTATATACGATCTTTAATCATATATCAACAACGTCTGCCACAATCTACAACACAGAAGGGAAGAGAAGAGTATTACTAAGGCATCTATCACTAT